AGAGAGAGAGAGAGAAGTGATTGAATGACAAATAAAAAGCTTTTAGGGCGATATACGCTCCGATGAGTAAGCTAAAATTCGAACAGCGGATTCTGTTTGTCAGTGTGCTTTTTCAAACGGGAATACTTTCTGTACAGGAAATAAACTTTTCAAAAGTCTAATAAATGCTCGGTAAGTTGTCCTGAATTTTTTGATCGGAATTGTCTTATATTGGGCTTATACGCGATGAAAATCATTTTTATTTTCCATTTTGTGCAATTAGACAGTTAATTCAAACGCGATGGAAATCTTCGCAAAAAGACTTTCCGAGAAAATCCTACGTAAAAAATATTTAATTCTCTTCTGTAGAGTATTAGACCCATCCTTTTATAACATTTGTCTTATAAATGAGGCAGATACTGTGGGAGACGTAATTATTGCAAAATGCACTTAGTGCTGTATTGACACATCCTTTTTATTCGAAATATATTCATTTTTACTTCTTTAATCTAATAAATTATGTATAAGCTATTTCAAGGAAGGGAGAAAGAGGAGAAAAAGAGAGGGAGAAAAATCCGGATTTTATTAAATCTGAATTTCGCTAGAGATTTCTAGTATTTATTTATATCCTTCTTTAGGATTTTCAAACATACATCAAGCTTTAAAACAAAAAATATTTCATTGTTTATGACAGCAAGACATCGATAATTATCGAAATTGATATATAAACATTAAAAATGTCGGAAAAAAGTATGAAGAACAAAACAATAAAATCACGAACATAATACAATAATGATTTTATGAAAAATTTTTATCGCGATGTTTCATTGTTATTATCTTGTTATATAATCATCGATTACTCTATCTTTCTTTAGTAGATTTTATCGAACTAATCTCATAAGTGGAAGTCTCATGAAGAATAAAAATAAAAATGGAATTACTCTTAGACATGCATCAGTACTCTCCATATGCGATTATTAACAATATTCGCCTAATGTGCTCCTGACATGTCGTTAAAGATCCCATAATAATATAAGGGAGGGCGGAAGCAGTTATGACCTGTTAAGATAAAGCCACTTGAAAGAAGGGACCGAGGTAGGCAGAGGTAAGACTGGGGTTAGAAATAACGATTTGTCATGTATAATGTTCCTTAAGAATATTTTTGCATATTGAAAAAATAAATTGCTATCTATTTTATCGATTGCCGCCGGTAATATAATATAATACTTCAAAATGTCTGATATCACTATAAAATTACCTTTTTTTTAAAAAAAAGATAAAAAAAGGGTGTCAAGTATAGTGGAATACTTCAAAATATCTGATATCACTATAAAATTGCATAATGATGATATCTCACAATTAGGAATCAGCTTGTAGATATTAAAACGTGATTTAAAAAAGAAATATTAGAATAATGAAAAAAGTACAAATACTCTTTCTTGTAAGTTGTACTCTGCGATCAATTTTAACTGTGGGTGATAAAACTTATGTCAGCGATTAAGCTCGAGAAACAAGTATAAAAAGGAAATGAGAGGAAATGAGAAAAAAAGAAAAGCAATTATCACACGTTCCGGAACAATGTCAACTCTAAGCCGTCCTTTCATGGGTGATATCGAATAAAAAGGAAGTTGTCACTACGACATTAATCGTCTTTCAAAATGATTGATGATACATCTAGGCAATTATCATTAACACAATTAATTTATTATTTTGAGATTTAAACGAGACATTTTTGGTTACATTTTAGTCAAGAAACCATGTCTTAAAAAAAAATTTGAATCGGAGATTTATAATAACGTCGACATTTATTTCCCAATGTAAATAAAACAAATGTTACACTTTCGTCAAGCATGAAATATTTGTACTGTTTAATTATGCTGCTATTGAATTATTCATAACTCCCACGATATTAATATGTAAATGCAGCTTGTTGTCGGTAATTAAAATTCGCATTTCCGCTTACTTATGTAGTTTAATATACTTAATCTTGGAATAAAAATGTTACCTTTTATTTATGTCATACGTTACAATATTTGGGTAAAAATTATATATAAATTTTTCATTTCTCGTTTTATAAATTTTGTAAACATTTTTGATAATTCTACAAATTTTTCAATGTTATTGATTTGTTAATTATATTTTCACAGCTACTAATTCTTAATATAATTGTAGAAAACCAGTATAGAATCATTAAATAGAGCAAACAACGAGAAAACTGAAAATATCAATTCTGATTAAAACTTATATTTCCTATCAAAGTAAAAGCAAAACGATTAAATTGTATCTTGAACGAATATAGTATCTGTCAGATGCCAAGCAACGGTTAAATGTTACAGTCATAGCTGTTACAATATTTTGCGAAGCTAAATCGCTTGGTTCTTGCTATCCCGAACACGTTGAACGTCTTTCACGATGGAAGATCATGGACTTCAGCCCTCGAATTCTTATCGACACGTACCGTGATGCACGTACCAGTAGAAGAATGAGAAAAAGGGAGAACAAACGTATATTCTCAGTGGACCAACTGTCTCTTCATCATTTTTTTGTCTTTTTGGTTTGCACAATCCAATTTTCGATACTGCTAACGTCATACTCTCTGCAAGCTTGACCTTAACATTTGCCTGTACTTAAAAATAAAATTTAAGAAAATATAATTCCCAAAATAAATATAATTTTTATATTAAAGTCTCATGTTAAAAAAATATTAGATATATAATTAATTTTATTGTCATTTATAAAAAATATAAATTCCAATTCAAATTTTTACAAATTTTACAAATAGAAAAATTATTAAGACAATCGTCCGTGCACGTTTTCCTGATATTATTCGTTGCCAATATCTTCCAAGAGCATAAAATATTTATGTAGACGTACATATTGCGGGATAGCGAAATTTGAAATTTTACTATCGAAACCGGCAGGTACTTTAGTTCTTGTAAACTGAAGCACATATCCACTTTCTGCCATATGCAGTAGCTTGTATATTAGATCACACAAGACAAAGAAGTGAGCGTTGTAACAATCAAACTTGTATTTTAATTATCATTTAGTCAATCAAGACTTGTAAATGGTAATTGATAACAAATTCTCTGCAATTTCAACCATCATTATTTATTCAATTAATCAATTAGAAAAAAATCTACTTTAAACTTTATAAGCATAAAAATAAATTTTAAACGTGATACAATGCAGATATGTTGTAAATGTAATATTCATGATATATTTTACTAAACTTGTGAATATTTCATATCACAAATTACGTTTATTCTTGTGTAATGAATAACATTGTTTTCCTTGGAGGTAATCTCGATTGTAAGCAATGAGGATGCATTAGAGTTAATATCGCATCTAATTGAATCAAATCTCTTTCTTTTGTATATTACATTACATTCATAATTAATATGCGAATTCTGCATTTATGTTTAATAATGCGACGGCGGGGGTTTATTTGTTGTTCGTACAATTACATTTCACTCGTACCTATTTGGATTATCGTCTGTGAACAAAGATCAAACCTATTCTCGAACAGACAATTTCCCAAATTTGTCTCTATGAGCATGGGATAGGATAATACGCGGATATATCAAATCGCGAATAAATAATAATCATTTTCGAATAGATAGTCGATATGTGTATCGGTATACACGCAGTATTATGGACACGCGTATGCGTGTCCATACTGTATTATATCGCACTATATACGGCGCGTCATTTCACAGTCGCGGTCATCATTTCAGGAATGCGATTAGAGGTCGGCATTAGCGTTGATACTCGTCTGATTCGAGTCGATGAGTCTCACGCCCGGATGAACGCCCAATCAAGTTCTCAAATTAATTTAACAAATTGCTTTTGTACCCGCCAGCCAGGTCATAGTATTTCAGATTTTCCCTCGACAGATATTTCGGCCAAAAGCCGAAAAGAACACATACATTTCGTTCCGCGATCGAGCCAACATGCCTTCGAGATTAATAACCGTGCGGTTACCAATAACCATACGATATATTCTATTTTTCTCTCTCTTTCTCTCTCTCTCTCTCTCTCTCTTCTTTTCCACGGTCATATATAAAGCACATTCATAACGAAAGCGCGAAACAAGATTGCCTAACGCGACGCTCGCGAATGTAATCTAATTTAGATTAAATGTAGTCTCACACATGGCGACAACGGTCCTTGCATGCATATTTAAAATAGGTACGTTATATCGTTCGTATGATATTCTCAGAGAGCATGCAAATGGAAACACGACCCAATCGAGTCTATCCGGATTTTGCTTATAGACATAGAAAGCCATCCAAATTGACAAAAGATTAATCATGGACGGAGTTAAATCTGTAATCTACAGCCACATCCCTTGATTTTCCTTTATTACGTCCATTTTGTGGAAACTTGGTTCCCCCATAGGAACTCGTCGTTAAAAGTCGCGTTATTTGTACCAATTTTCCGTTGATAGACAGTGTTAAACGAGAGAAATTGACGGGGCGAAAAGAGCGAATAAATGTGCAAGAACGAAAGACAGAATCTATTGTTGACGGGTAGCATCAAGTAAGAAAAAGATAAAATAGATCGCAGAAAAGTATGCTAGCGCACTTCCCCCCCCTTCCCTCTTAGTCTTCCGCCTCTGCATGGTTCAGCGATGGATTAGCTTGAAAAAAAGAATCGGAACTTCGTAGCTGCAACATGAAGGAGGGAAGAAGGCTTTGCGTGTCGCGCAACGCGAGATCGAGCGAGAAAAGCGCGACGGTGGAAGGAAGAGGGAAAGGAAGGGAAAAGCCGTACGAGAGAGAAAGGATTGCGTTATAGAAGGGGAGCGGAGGAAAGCACGGAGACTGCGTGAGAGTGGGAAAACGTGGCTATAGGGGGTGAGGTGGAGAAGCGATAGAGCGAGATTGGCGGAGAGAGGGAGGCACCGACAGAGACAGAGAACGAGGGGTTGGTTTGCCGAGCTCAGTTACGCCGCGCCCCTTGCGATGAGCGTTACACCACACGAGTGAGATCGCGTTGTCTCCGAGAGGGCGATTCTCTTCTCTTCTCCATACATACGCGCACTACACGCTTTTTTCCCCCCCTCTTTCATGGTGGTGCGAATAACGCGGCGCGATTGACGCGTCGAAAAGCTAGGGAAAACTTCTCGCCTCGTAAGGAAACAGGTAGCGCATTAGGTGCACGTGTTTCCCCATCGGAGAATTAACAATTGACTTTGTCGACATCCGCGCTAAGTCTCCCCTTCTTCATCACAAAAACACTGCCAGAATAATTCTGTCGAACTACGCATGAATATCTTGGAGTAAAAAAAAAAAAAAAGACGAGGAAATTGCAAGATTCCGATAATTTCACGCGGAAATTAAGTGAAGGAGAACAAACGGTTGGAGGAGGTGCGAACATGTATACTGATAAATTATACATATTCCTTGATTTTGTGTATAACACAAACAATGTAGTTTCTAATTAATATTGGTGACCAGGTGATGGTTTATTCTCGTGTAAATATTCGATCGCTCGAGAGACATTCTCCAAGGCAAAGTACCGTTTAAATCAAAATAATTCAGTCGTAAAACTGTGCAAATCGTCGTCGAGAAAGAACTTAAACTTCTGCTATTTGAATATAAAGCTAATTTATATTACCGTGGAGAGGACAAATGCTCGCAACAATGTAGTGGTAAAGTTTTAACAGATAAAACTTTAAAAAAGCCAACATGAACATGATTGAGTGAATGCGTGAATTGCGTCTGAAAAAGTTTTCGAGTAGGAAGATATAAGATAGTTGAAACTTTCAAAATCTTGGCCAGACAGATCTGAATTGGATGAAGCGAAATTAAGAAGCGATTCGGTTTCGAGACCAATCTATCAAAGGTAAATACTTCACATTTTTCGCATGATTTTCAGTTATAATATTTAGACAGAGCGTCCCGTTTACATGATAAAGAAATTTTGTTCTTTTTTTACGCGTGTCTCTTATTTTGACATCGTGTTAAAAAATCAATTATTTTTATAAATAATGCAACGCTTGCACACTTTGAAAATTTTCAATGCTACAGCATACTACACAAAAAATAAAGCACAACAACAATTTTGTAGCAGATTTATTATAGTGGTATTTCTTTGTCCAAACTTTCTATCTTAAATAACAATTAATCTAATTAAATCTAATTAAAATATGGATAATTATATATGAGAGCTACGTAATTATATGAAAATAAAGGCGCTGAAGATAAAGGCGTTTTTACGAGAAAAAATTATGATATTCGTGAATAATTTTTAGTAAAGAGATTCGAATTTTTTTAAAACTATGTGTTGTACATATAAACTCTATCTAAAAATACATGGTTCGTAGAAATATATATACGCTATTTGCATACATATATTACTATATACGCAACACATTTTTAAGATAGCATACATCGAAAAATATGCGAGACTAAATATATATAAAATTATTCTTGTTGTTGTATGAAGAGAATACGTCAAATTCTCTTGTCCCGCACTTTTTTAACCACGGAAACCACGATAAACTGGGTCAGAATACAAAGCGCATTGGCATGTTGCATCTATTTACGAATTGTAATCCAGTAAAGAAGGAATGACCGAATAAATCCGAGCTTTCTGGCATATATTATACTTCCGCTAGAAATCATATATAAATCCGTGTTTATTATCCGCGAAATAATTTAGCCGTTGGCCTCGAGAAATCGGCAGTGTCTTCGATGTCACGGACAAATTATTACGAACAATCAATCGTGCGTTTCGCGGGAGTTAACGAGGTAACGCGAACGGATGCACAGGAAATCGAGGACGGAAACTTGAACGAGCTTTTAATCATCTGGACGGAAATGTCGAGGGCGGCACAGCCGGCGGAATCTATCCTCGCGGCGTTTCAAACTTACTCGATTTAGGCAGCCCGGAGAACAAGTATACGAGTTCGAGTTTTAAAAGTCAAGCGCGAGCTCGAGTTTTCCAACAGCCAAATTGGCAGAAGAGAAAATCTACCCCCCCCCCCCCGCAGCGTGCGCGTGTGCGAGAGACAGTTGTGTACGTTCCACTATTGAATTGTCTGCAATTGTCTGGGTCAAAACGAGACCAAGACCGATAGAGGGAACTTGAACTCGATCACCGACTTTGTCCCAAATCGCCAATTTTCGCCTGTTAAACGTCTCATCCCTCCCTCGAAATCGAATGCCACGCGACAATAAACAAACAGACCGACGTAACTCCGTTTCCAGCTTTAAAAATTTCATTCTTCCAATGCTGTTACTTTTGTATAGTTTCACTGTGTACGTCTTTCTGACGATAAACCGCAAACACTGCCTGCTGGCAGAGAGAATCTCGCGGAAGTTTCGCACGGGTTTATTGAGTAATCCATTCGTAATTAATCAAAACGTCAGTGTACGGTGGAAACCGATCGTTTAGTAACAGCAAGATGTAGCACAAAGGAAACAAAGTTCGATAATTAACAATAATTCAAACGATATACAAAATATATTTTTACGTTGCCAAAAGTGCGGAATTTCCCTCTCCATATTCCAGGGAAATAACTTCGATTATAAACAAATCAAGGTTGTTGCGCTTGAGCATTTTATCAGCTGGTTTTTAGCAGTTTTTCGTGACAGGCGGAGGAGACACTACCGCTGCGAAAATCCGACGAGCTTTCCGCTTTTTGTCAAAAGATTGGATGATTAATCATGCCGTCCTATATCCTCTTTGCCCTTCGGCCTGTGTGTGCCAACACATACGCGATACGCAGTTATTCCCGCACATGCGTCACCGGGCCGTGTACCTTTTAGTGAACGAGAATTCATCAACGTCTAAAACTGGAGTGAAGCCTTCGTGAGTGATTGACCCCCGGCTAGACCTTGTCGTTCCGCGTTGTTTCATTCCCAAGTCTAATATTTCTAATCTAGCAGTCCAATATTTTTAACATGTCCACTTGCTCCCCCTCCCCTCCGCAAATGTACCATGACGTTTGAATGAATTATTATCGACATATTTGCGATATATCAGGCGCGATCTGTCAAATTTATGTAATATATGCCGTAATATATGCCGTAACTGTGTATTTTATTCTCCATGATATAGATTTAATTATAAACTATTTAAATTCACTGCGTAACTCCCCTTACAGATTCTCACACATATTTCCAAATTTAATCGCCGTTTTACAACAAATTTGTGACTTTTTAATATCAAGAAGGTCTAAATTAACCTTGACGTATTTAAGTAATTCGATTCGAGATATTAAATCCATTATAATTACACATTAAAAAATATCCAGCTTGACGGGGATCCCATCCCGTTAACGAGAAAATGTCACGGGGAAGATGTCGCGAAGATGCGATCGCGTCAGTTCCCTTTCGGGTCAATTTATTAGTTTTAAACGGGTTTGTTCGACCGACGCGCATCAACGCTGACCCCGTTCAATCCCGCCGTTTAATCCACACGAGATAGGCACATACGATTAGACGATTCGGCGGGAAACGGAGAACCATTCAATATCCCGCGCTTATCCGCTCGCTCAACGGGCTTTCACAATCCACGTTGGCAATGCAGCCTGAATTCGACTATGGGTCGGCCGGGGAGCTTATGAGATTTTCAACGCGCGAATCAGCGGGGGTTTGAAGCTTGCCGAACAAGGACGACATAACACCCGGGCACATATGTATCGCGGTCGATCGATTTCCATACCGTTCTCAAATCGTTTCCCCGATCTCTGAATGAACATTGTCATGTAACGTCATACGGTATTTAAGTCAAGCCACGTAAATCTCGTGTGTACGTATTGTCGGTATTGTCTGCAGCTAATTCGCTTTCCCCGCGTGATACTTCAACAAAGATATTCATTTTCTAAATATATCTTTTCTCTTTGTCTTCCGCCTTCTCCCTCCGTCTCCCTTCTCTCGACCGTAATAACCGTTATTTTATTGATTTCTCATTTTTTTTTTTATATTTCACGGCGCACGATCTTCGAATTTGTTTCGAAACGAGTTTCGAAATTTACGCAAAATTGAATCGTACATGTTTCGCGTTTGTATCAAAACGTAGGAAGCATTGTTATCCGGATGAAATTAATCATCTTGGTTTACTTTTAATTTGCATTCGAGTCGCTTCTAATGAACAATGTTCATCGTGAGCAATACTAATATGTATTGTATTACAATCGCACAACAACTCGGTTTCATTACGTAACTGTATACCGTATTCATTAAGAAAATGAGATTGCACAATTGAGTTGATCAAATCCAATTTTTGCAAAATGCACAATAAATTGCGGAAATGTGATAATATCGAAAATTAGAAACAATATACGCTTACGGAAGTTACCGCATTTAAATTATATAATATACTATTTGATTGATGTCCATCATGGGCAGGCGCATATATATATATATGCAACAAGGTTAATCATGCATCAGGTAACAGACAGTATGAAATACGCGGAAGCACGTAGCGATTAAATATAGACGTAATTATATGCGATCGATCGAGCATTCGCATAAAGCGGCTAATTGGATATGTTGATTTTCGGAAATGTGTGATATCGCTATGTCATCTCGTTATCCTCTCCTTTTTGACGCGAGCAACCGGGATACGATGTCAATGTCAAATTTTCGGAAGCGATCGCGCTTCGCGCGACAGTGCGTAGTCGCCGACAGTGTTCCGTTAACAGATTTTCACATTGTTTTTGCGCCGAAAAAAATTGGCCGCGCGCGAAACTTGCTCGAGTTCACAGCGAACGTATAACGCGGCACAGCTTCCCGAAATTACTTTCTCGCCGCGCAATCCGGAATATCGCCCACTTCCCTCTTAATACAGCGCAGTTTTGCATCTCTATGAAAGTTCAATCAGCGAGTAACCGGATTATACGTCCCGTCGATATTATTTTACAATGAATCCCTCCTAAACGGATTCTCGGCGCGTCGGAGAAATATACCAAACGTAATAAAACAATATCGAGCAATTATACTGTGGAACTGGGAGGTTTAATCAATCATCACAAACAGTTTTACATCTTGCCTCGAGGCAAGGCTACAAAGTACAAAGACCGTGCAATTTAATGCAACACTATGAATCAGATTATGCATACATTAACCGATGCGTTCTCAGAGAATTTTTAACCGCGCCAATCTCCCGTATTTCGCCGGCACATTGAACGGGCGATGTAATTGCGAAATGAAATCCGTAATGAAATATTGCGTTTCCTCGCGCATTTCCGCGTATGCATAAACAGAAATTTTCCACACTCGCGCACGAGAGTTTTTCTTTCATTCCTCCACCTAGAAACCTGCCACCTCCGTTTATCCGCGTATTCGCGACAACACTTCTTTCATGTCCGATGGTGCTTGTTTTAGAATGTTAATTTGCAAGCAATTCAGTATAAATCGCAGGCGGAAGAGAAAAGAAAATGAGTCTTCAAAAAAAAAAGATAACGGAAAAATTCATTTTCCACGCTGTTTGTCTTGAATGTTGGGTCGAGATACCAGTGTGTGGCGGCTGTTTTCCTCTACGTTCCATGTTACGGACGGAATTGCGACTCACGCTCGAATAAAGAGTCGCCGACACCGTGAAAACGAGAAATGGCAAATGAATTTTAGCGTGATTCCAGCTCTGTAATCCCGTTTAAAAGCTAATGAGAGTAGGATTCAGAAAATCGCTTGAAAATTTGTCTACTAAGCTTATTACGACTTATATTACGAGCTTATAGTTTGCGTTACAGTCATTATCCATTCTATAACTAGCCGTTCTATAACTCTCCAATTTGCGTGATATTGCTACGGAAAAGCACCGATTAAACGGGAGATAGCAAGTGAGGCAAAGGGCTTCATGAAATTACCTATTTCTTTCTCTCCTTTTTTTTTTAT